TGCTTTTCTTGAAAACGTGGATTTATTCTCGATGCTTGGGGATCCAACAATGAGTCTAGCAATATGAGACTATCGCTAATCTCAGATTGGTGAATTTAAAAAAATTTAAATAACGGGAGAAAGTTTTAAAAGAGCTGTGTTAGGTTTAGTTCCCTGCTGGTATTGACTTAAAAGGGGGATCAGAGGCAAATGGCAGCATCAAGAAAGAAAGAAAGGAAGGAAGGAAGGAAGGAAGGAAGGAAGGAAGGAAGGAAGGAAGGAAGGAAGGAAGGAAGGAAGGAAGGAAGGAAGGAGGATTGAAGTGTGGAATGAAATTGACATGAGATGTAAAGAGAGAGAGAGAGAGAGAGACAGGGATGGGAAGCCTAAAGCTTTGAAATTCCCCCCTTTAATACTTTAGTGAACAAAGTGGGGGGGGGAGGGGAGACCATTTTGGCAGTCTTTGGAAGTCTAACATTAAAATAGTGGCTGAGCCACATGGACCTTCTGCAAACCACCAACTTAAGAATCGCTTGGGATCAATCCATTTGGAGGAAAAAGTAAAACCAGCACAGGAGAGTATTTTAAAAACTGCCAAGATCACAACTGTTGTGGGATTCTGGGACCCCAGGAATATTTCCCTGGGACCCTCCCATTCCCCTTTATTTCTTTTATTGGTTGGGTAGAGACTGGAGCTGCGGTGGCTCAAGTGGTTAAGACGCTGAACTGCAGGCTGTGGAAGGTCAGTAGTTCAGCGGTTCAAGACCCGGGTGCCGCAAGACAGGGTGAGCTCCTGTCTCTAGTTCCAGCTCCTGCCAACCTAGCAGTTCGAAAGCAAGAAATTGCAAGTAGATAAATAGGGACCACTTCAGTGGGAAGGTAACAGCGTTCCGTGCACCTTGGTGTTTAGTCATGCCGGCCACATGACCACGGAAACGTCTTCGGACAGCGCTGGCTCTTCGGCTTTGAAACGGAGATGAGCACCGCAACCCTAGAGTCGGATTCGACTGGCTTTCGAGCAAGGGAACCTTTACCTTTACCTTTAGAGACTGGCAAGGGACTGGATCAATAGAGCAAGACCATAATTTTTAAACAAAACCAGTTTATTACAATATAAGCTTAAGGACAGAAAGCACTTTAGCACTTATAAATCTTTTAGGATAAAAACATAACATTTTCATATTCAGCAGAGAATACTTCAAACACAAATATAATGCTCTAGCATGAAATACAGAGCACCCTGGTCTAGTCAACCAGAACTCACAGAGAGCTGATTGATGACCAGCCCAGAGCAAATAAGTTTTCAATAATTTATACCCTCAGTACCCATAGGTTCAGCTCACGTGGATGACGTAAGGTTAACACACTTTTAGCAAGAGAATACCAAAATAAAGAGAACAATTTTACACTGACCTCATACCCTAGTTACCCTAGACAGTCAAGGATGTTATGTGTCAAGAGTCAGAAATATCATATCAAAGTTCATTCTAAGAGTCTTCAGTAGACAAACTCAATGTTTAGACTTTATTGTGATGTTATTGGAAGCACAGATGCTTGCTTCAGCGAGTATGTTGTACAAACCTTTTCACTAGGAGTCTTTGACACAGTATGAGGGTGAAATGATAGACCTAGACAAATGTAAACTATTCTTTTTAGAGCAGAGTGCATTGCCAGGCCAGAAAGAGGCTTGAGAGATGATCCTGCAACATTTTATGGGAGAGGAACCAAACAGAGAGGCCTCAGCTAATCCAGGCTGTTATACAGAAATGCCCCAGGCTCGCTCATTTTTGTGCCACAACCACCAGTGTGCATGCCAAGTTAGAGAATCACAAAGAGAAAACCACACAAATTTGCAAGGGAGGGCAGGAAATTAGCATTACTGTGCAGCTGCACTAGGGCAGCAGTGAAAGCACCTTCCCCCCCCCCCATTTAATGTCAAAAGACTAAGAAAGCTCTCCAGAGCTTCTGCCGGAGGACTGCTCCTCCACCCAAACTGCAGCCCTGTGCAAAACATGGAGTTGCAGCTGACTTTGCACAGGAGCGCACACACACACGTTGCCAACTATCAAGACTTGCAGTGCCAGTGTTCTTGGGTTCTACCCTGCATTCTGTACACTCATTGTGTTCCCCCATATTATGAGTTCCTTTGACTCCCATTTTTCACAGTGGTCAATAACAGCAGAGAATCCCCTAATGCTTGGCAATATGGAAAACAGGGCTTCACAGCTGCTTGTCAGTTTCAAAAATACTGTCAGTTTCAGCATTGGTTTCCCTCCTTTGCCTGTGTTCCTTTGTGTTCCCTTTCATTCAACCAACTAATGCTAAAATGCATGCACAAAAACTGAACCATGACAATTTAAATGGAAGGTGTGTTCTGGACACTACTGCACAGCTGCAATAGAGCAACTGCGTAAATTAAAAAAAAACTTTGGATGCCATCTCCCACATCACAAGTCAGGTTCTCACCTTGATTTAGAAAAGTGTGTTTTTAAAATTGTAGCTGCAGAATAAATACACTGGAGGAAAAAGAATGGTGTGTAAGGTGGGCGCAGAATCAAGTCAAGTTTAAAGGCTTACTGCTCGGAAAATCTGCAGTAAACTCTGTGTGTGCATAACAGGACTGTGTCTGAGGGAAATGAGAGCAATTTGAACCCACCTTGTTAAAAGAAATACAGTTCTTAAGTTTGGGTCTCGCTTCTCTGGGGTACTATTTATTTGTGTGGAAAGCACAGTAGAGGCTGCACATGCGGGGCCTGGAATAGCTCAAAACAATTCTAACAAATGACAATTCCTCGGGGAGGAGGTTTTCTGCAGACTGTGCCTTCCTGCCTTCTCTCTGATTACCTCATTGCTGGCAGTTGGAAACTTCTGATAAAATCTGATAATGTCTTCACGCATGGGAAGGGGCTCTTGTGCCAGGTATCTACAGAAGTAGCCCTTAATGGCCACACGAAAGAGCTGTGAGCAGCACAGCAATGCAATCTCTCATATGACAAGCTGTATGTCCGGTTGTGCATTCTGTTCTCGGCTTCTCTTTCTGCAGGAGCCTACGTGTTCATTGTTCTGAAGAAAGGCTCTGCTCTGTCACAAGAAAGCATAGCTTCTGAACTTCGAGAGCTGGTCTCCAAAAAGATAGCAAAATATGCTGCTCCTGAATATGTTCAGGTAACAACCTGCAGACTGTTTCTCCTTCCACTGCACCCTTTTAGCACATCACTAGATAGTGGCTAAGGATAGGATACAAAGTAAAAAGCAGATCATTTCAGCTGTGCAGCTAATTAGTTAATTAAATAATAGTCTAACCCTTACATCTCACTGCTGATTTATTCAGAATACTTAGGTATAAATCAGCAGCACTGAGAACATAAAGAGTGGATTAAGACAGCCCTTCATTCTGTTGACTTGAAATGATTCCAGGATATTTTGCAGATATATTGGACTATGGACCTATTAACCATGTGGGCTGCTTAAAACCAGCTTCTGTGTATGTTTTTGTACCTAATTTTGATAGTCCCTGGAGACCATTAAACACCTTACTATTGGTCCTGATTAAGGTGTACTGGACACTTAACCTGGTTGCTGGGGGTGGAGGGGGATGGAGATTAAGTGACACAGATAAGAGGCAGCCTGAGGGATGCCCCTCAAGAACAAATCACAGTAGTGGGCTTAAGTTAACTGGCCCATCTCAGTTCCTTAAGTATATACTTCAGGGCCAGGAATAATGAGTCCAAGGAGTTTATTTTATTTATTTATTTATTATTACATTTATATCCCGCCCTCCCCGCAAGCAGGCTTATTGAGATTATAGTAAATGGGAGCAATCAACTGTGGAGAAAATACACCATATTGCTAGAGCCACCAAGCAATTTCTTGATATACTTTCCACTAGGAGGCTCTCTGGGAAGGATGGAGGCCTACCCTTGGAGCCCACTTCCAAAAGGAGCATCCCCTTTTATTCCAACTCAAGCTTCACAGCTATGCGCATACCCCTCTGATTTTTGTATCGCTGTAACCCAGTTTGGTCAGATGCTTCTTCCTCAATATAGATATTTCAGATTTCAGGAGAGAAAGCAGTGGGGTGTTTACCCCAACCTTTGAACTTTACTTGCATGAGCAGGGAGGGGCACTGAAAGTTGGGACTGTCCCTTTTTGAGGTGACACACTCTAGAGCAGGAGTGTCAAACTCATTTGTTATGAGGGCCGGATCTGACATAAATGTGACTTTGTTGGGCCGGGCCATGCATGTCATAAAATGTGCCAGGTAGTGGAGATATAAACTTTATAAAGGGCACAGACAAACACAAGGTATTATTTTTTACTTAAAATACAAACATGCTTAAAACATTAACACTCTTGGCAATATTTTATTTAACAGTTTTTGATAACTAACACCTCTTGCTCTGAATTATTGCATCAAATCAGGCGCAGAGGAAAACCCACATCGGCAGACTGGAGAACCAGCACTGGGCTAATGCCCCCTTGTTGCCTGGACTGGGGAGCAAACTATGCATGGGATGGAGATAGCTGACAAAGAGAAATTTTCCTCCCTCTCCCAAAATGGTAGAGAATTTGAGGGCATCCAATGAAGCTGATGGGCAGTCGGCTGAGGACAGACAAAAGGAAACAAGTCTCACATAATTAATTGTTTCACAGATTAATAAAATTAGTAACACCCTGCAAAAAGAGCCACTGAAAAACCCCTCTGTGACGGAATGCACTTAACAGGTTTCAGAAATCTGGGAGGTGAAGAGTTATTTCTTCACTGGAAGGGAGAGCTTGTGCAACTTGTTGCCAGGAGAGCTAATCAGAAGAAGCCTGTTGCAAAACGATGGGGGGGGGGGGGGGGGGGGGAGGGCAATTTTTGTC